GGATGTTATATGCTGCCTTGCAGCATGTTTTGTCAGCAATAGAAAGGACTAGGAGGAAATTGCCAGCCCTTTCACAAGGGCAAAAATATTGCAGTTCTACTGCAAAACAAATAAAATCAAAGCAATGTTCAAAGACATATGAGGAGACACAAAAATGTGGCAGACAATTTTACATTATCAGCCAAACAGGCCACATAACCACCTTGGTCTTTTCGGTTTCAACTTCTCCCTATGAAAATCAGTGAAATGAACAAAAAACAGTGTCTCCTCTGATATTCCCAGTAACTCTCCAACTTTTTAGTGCTTACTTCCCTCCTAAAATCTTCCTTTAAAATCTATGTATCTATAGATTTTTCTTTCTCTGTGTGTGTGTGTGTCTGTATATAATGTAAATATGTATGTACATTACTACTCTAGCCTGGAGAGCTACTTCTGGAAAGCTTCTCTGGCAGTGGCAGTTTATTTGTTGAGGTGAAGAAATAATTTTCTTGCAAATTTATCCTGACTTACAAATTCACTTTCACTAAGTATAGTCATATAGTGACTCGGTGTAGCACAGACGAAAGTTATAGATGCCATCTTCTCACTGGTGTGTGTTATGTGATAAGAGTCTGGATTTCTAGATGCTTTTACAGAGTAATGTCCACCAGCAGCAGTAAGACTTACCTCTCTGTGGTTCAGACATACTGGCTCGCTGTCAGGCATACTCTGGTGCCCACTTCACAGCTGAAGCAACTACCAGGAGAATTATTGTGGCTTTACCAGCCTTTTAAAATGCCACAAGTGGTTGTTGCCAGCCATCACCTGCACCTTCTCATTTTTTGGCTTATCCACCTGTGTGCCACAGTGTGAATGTGTGTGTGTCTGGTGTGTGCTGACTGGAAGTTTTGCATCTAAATCTGCTTCTGGGATCCCAGCTTGGACATTGGCAACAGTGCTGGCACCTGTGTCTTGAATGACATTTTTTGCAACCTTTGTCTTCCGTGATTGTTTTCAGGCCACAGTAATGAAAAGCTTTGCAAAAATAATTCCCTCAGCGATTCTTTTTTTTTCCTGGACTTGTCAACCTCTGCCATAAACTTTCATATGCAGTGTCCTTATGGGCCACTTTGTACTCTTTTCTGCAGACCTTATTAACAGCCCTGCAGGACATACGCTTCTGCTAATCATCCTCTTGAGGTGTTAGCCAGCATGAAATCCTGCTCTGTTTCCCATGTTAGCACTAACTGTGCAGTGGAAGCAGGTGTTCAAACTATAAAAACAAACAACACAAAACTGAAAAACCCAACAATGTGAAACTTTGTTTTTCAGGGGGGCATATGGACCTCTGAACAGCTCGGAGACTACTAAGGAGATATACTTCCTCCAGGGATCTTTAATCATAAAAGCA